TATGAGGTGATACTTTTATTGTTTTCTGGGCTGCTCTGTAGATAGAAAATACTATTCAGAGTTCAAAATACAAAATGAGGAAAACCTTTCTTTTTTAATTGATTCACTATGCAAGTGCTAACAGAGATTTCAGTGGTTTAGATGTCCTATAACTCTGATAAAGTTCAACGGTTACTGAAACTCAGAGAAACTGTCGTTTAACTTTATGCTCACTAAAATTTCTTATAATGTTAAAGAACTTACAAGCTCTAGACTAAGAAATATCCCATAATTATTTTAATAATATGTGCCTGTACATTAAAGGCTCCGCCTCCTTCACTTAAAATGAAGGATCCAAGTGGAATAAAAGAATGACTTACAACTGATCAAGAAACAAATATGGTTCATTATGTTAATGAGAAAATTAAGAGAAAATGCTTTCAATGTTGATGAAAAGTCAAGGAACACAGATTACAGAAAAGATGACTTTATAAAGAAGAGAATCCACTGGAAAAAACACTACTTCAATTTTTGATTCAATAATTTTGCATAGTCCTATAGTCTATGGGGTTATGTATCACTAAACATATTAAGAATAGGTAAATGACTTTCTGAACTGTATTTTCCTGAGTATCTCCTAAGCCAAGTATTCTTTCAATTTTAGATCCCGTAAATCATAACTACTGCATAATACAACTAATCAACAGAAATGTTATTAATATACTCTATTAATTGAGGAAGTACATCATACAGGTTCAGAAAGATTACCATCTAAAACAGCTACAATTATCTGAAAGCTTTAACTTGCCCAAAACTCCTTAGCCATAGTGGACAACTAATGATTCTATAAAATTCTATTCTATATAACATTTTTAGTTTACTGGTTATTTGTGAGGGCAGGCTGTCACTCGTGGCCTGTTTTAATCTTTTAAAGATGGTCTCTACTCCTATTTAAAGGTGTAAGTTATTAACCCTTATTTAGAAAAAGAAGTGCAGCTCGCTCACTGCTACATTCATTTAATTTTACATAAACACACTCTTTGAGGTTGAAACAAATCTGACTGGTTTTCAATGTGAAAATAAAATATAAAAATTGTCCTTTGAGTTATTTCTAAACAGAACGACTCGTCTCTATTCCTAGTGAGAATGCCAAAAAAAAGAAAGAGAGAGAGAAGAGAAAATTACTATATTTTGTAATTCTCTTCTTTTCTTTTTTTTTAATCTCAGGGTAAATACTACAGCCACAAGTACCACCAGCAAGAATCCTCCAGTTAAATGGGAAAAGGATTAAGAGATACGGAATCCTCAGAACTACATTTTGTATCTTCCCTAATTTCTAAGCTTAGGATGGAATCTAAATCTACACTCTCAATTTTATTTAATTCCTATCCCTTTTACCTTCCCAGGCATTCCCGGGATCAGGAACAGAGACTTGTTATAATCAAACTAATTTAGCTAAGGGACATCCTTGTAATTAAACCAACCCAGGAAAAATGATCATAATCTAGGTTAGGACATTGGGTTCCTCCACGGTCACACAGACAATTCTCAAACCATTTCTTGAATTTTTCTGTGTGCTCCTCTCTGCTTTCAAATGGAGTGTGTTCAGGGAAAACAAATTATCCCTCTCCCCTCTATTAATGCTAACAGCTAAAACAGAAAGGTGTTTATAAAATGTAATAAATCACAAACTTGAGATAAAATACTAGTAATTAATATCTACTTAGAGTTCCTCTTTTCTAAAAAAAAAAAAAAAACCTAAAATATATTTTTCAATCTGTTTTTAGTATAACATAGGAAATTATTTGGTTTCCCATATAACAAATAATAGATTTAACTTGAGGCAAAAAAGGTTAAGTGACTTACCCAAGGTTACAATTAGAGGTACAGCTGGGGCTAGAAACCAGGTCTCCTAAGTCTCAGCCCAGTGCTCTTTTCCTTAGCCCATGATGCCTTATCAGAAAAATCCAAATATAGTCAGACCCCCAGTTATATGGGTATGAGTTACACTGATTCACATATACAAACTTCATATAGTGTGACCAATGTTTCAACTCACGCGGTACCCTGCTTCCATTTATGCAGTATGCCAGGCATCGGCACGATTTTCAGTGGCACACAGGCGGTTGCCACCACCAGGGCCCTAGGCAAAATTGCAAAGAAGGCAAAGTTTGTCTTTGGCCCTCCCACCTCCCTTATTCATTCCTTTCCCACCTCCTGGTAGACCCCCTGCCCAGCCTCCCAGCACCATCATGCTGCCCTCTGATTGTCCAAAGCCCCCACACTTCCACCACTCACCCAGGACTGTCCTTTCTTGAAGTGCCCAGTGATCCCAAATAACCTCTCCATTTCCCTGCTACCAAAATTCCCATTCCTAAGGATTTCAATGAAGTTTAGGTAATCTAAATGATTAGCTGATTTAAGTAATTCAACATAAGGTACTTTTAACTAACAGACTTAAAGTCTCTAAGGAGTTTACAAAGAACTAATTAAAAATTCTGTTGGGAAGGGAAGGGAGAAGAAATCTTGGTAAGTGGGGAAGCAATGTTTGTCCAGAGCCCCAGGAGTCTGTGCCACTTCAGACTCCTTCAGAAAGAGGACACTAAGGGATGAGGGGATCATTGCCACCTTGAGCATCACTATCCAAAAACAGAAAGGGTGCTTTAGTCTCTGAGATTTAAAAATAAATAAACAAGCAAACAAACAAAGACAGAGCTATCTTAGATACCCTCCTACCTACCTTTTCCACCTCTCTCCTACTTCCTGGATCCCCATTTCCAACTCAGTGCCAAAGACACCCAACAGCATTTCCATAAGCTGTTCGTGTGTCCAAAACAAGATTTCCCATTATATGGTTTCAAATCATATGGTGTTATTCAGGGGGATACTTCCATGTTCCCCTACCCTGGATAACTTGAAGTTGACTGTATGCTAAAAAAAGAACAATTCTAATTATTAAAGGTCCTTAATCATAAAATGAAATATGGAAGCTCACTAAATATCTGGTAAGAAGGAAAAGAATGTTCTGATTCTTATCTTGCATATAGAAAAGGACTAATTTGGACATCTTAAAAAAAAAACAACACTCTTCCTTGAAAGTAGACCCAATTCAGCTGTGAAAATCCAGTCATTTCAGCTAAATAATATCATGGACTTATAAATATGTCTTCATTCATAAATCCTCTAAGTCTGAAGGCAAAAAAAAAAAAAAAAAAATCCAGTAGAAGACATACAAAAAAATATACAAAGTGGATTTTAATAAATCCATGTTTCTGCTGATTACACAAACAGCAATATATATACTTTTAAAATTTAGCTTTGCAATACTAGATGAGCTGCCTAATTCAGAAACGTACAGTGATGGTTACCTTGACCCAACTACCCTCCCAGTAAAATTAGGAAATCCAATACATGCAGAAGATACCACAAATGGTATCCATCAAGGATCATATAAAGTAACAAATGATTTATATAATTTAATTGCAAAGACTAATTATTCTGTTAGCTAAGATCCCATGTAGCACATTCCCAATACCCTCTCTCATGTAGGAAAAGGAGCAAGGTTAAGACATGCTGCAGTTATAAAGTAACCATTCTTACCTAAAGGTGAAAAATGGTAACAGTTAAAAGTTTCTCCAGTGGCATTTTAAGTTAATGTTAACTTAAGGGTTTACTACACAAGTAAAACCCGTTTTCTTCCCAATCTTTCCTTCCTCTCTACACAAACGACAATTAGATTCACCTTCTACACCTATTTGTCCATATGTTGTATGAAGAAAAGTCCTCAGTGTGGGTTTTTATTAAACCTGAACTGTGAACGCTGAAAAGCCACTCTAAATATATATTGCAAAAAGATTTGAATTCAATAAAGTTTTTTTAATCTACTCACATAATTTGCTGCAAAGCACTCAAGTAAATTATAAGAGCAACTATTAAAAGCTGAATTTAAGATGTGCCTTTTCTCTCAAGTCAAGCAATTTAAATAACTTGTCAAAAAAAAGCATTTATGTGGCTAAGAAATTATTTGCCTAAACAAGCAACACACAAAAACTAGCAAGGGTTTTATTTTTAAGAAAGTACTGAGGGCAACCGCTTCGGGTCCCCTCCCCCTGTGGGAGCTTTTCTGTCCTCTTAATAAATCCAGTTTTCTCAAAATAAAATATAAAATAAAATAAAGTACTAAACTAGACCTTTCCTCAATATGTGCATTATCGACAAAAAAAGGCAACAGCATTTCATCATTTTATTAAGAAATTATCTTTATGTCAAAACCTTTCTACAGATTCTAACCTAAGCACCTGTAAAGATCTTTGTTATTCTCAATTCTACTTCACTGGGCACCAAAATGGTTCTATTTGGGGCACATGCAACATTCGCCAATATTTACTGAACAAAGCCTCTATTAAATTGTCTAACAAAATGGAGGTCTCTCGGAAAAACAGGCCGTAACATTTTTCTTTTTACAAAATGGGGCCAAACACACCCACTTCGAGAAACCATGGTTTGGGTCAGATTTTCCATAAAAACGGTTGTTTCTGTGAGGCTCGAGGATAGTAGGAAGGTTCTCCTACAGACCCAGAAAGGCGGGGAGCTTCTCTGGGGCACTATGGAGGACGGCGGCGGGGGATGATCCCGAAGCTCTGGGCAGAGGAATCAGATGGGGGCGGAGGCTTCGGCGGCCCGCAGGTACCACATCAGCAACAAAACTGGCCGCCGACTACGCCAGAGAGACGTGGGCTCTCCCGTCCCAGCCAAGTCAACATTAAAAGCACAAACTCTCCTTTCTGCCTCCAGGGCCCGCCTCACCCCATTGGCAGCAGTTCCCGCCAATCCGCACGGTCACCGCCCCTCAAGCCCGCCTGCCAAGCCCTGATTGGACGGGATGGGGGCCGGGGTCCTCGTGTTACCAATCTGGGAGCCCCTTACTCAGCTACACGCGCGCGCCCAGGTGCGCCCTCGAACCCCTTCCCTGCGCCGAGCCCATCCCTTCCCCCACCCCCAGGGCCCTGGCGGAGACTTACCGTCCCGGGAGGTGCCCATCAACTGGTCCAGCATCGCGCGCATCTGGGC